TCTCATCAGTCTGTGAACTTCACCGTAATACTAGTTACGCACATATAATAGCAAGCGTTTAAGTTGCCTTATTTTTTCGTTCACTTTAATGTCATTTCATTACATTCTATAAAATATGTGTAAGTTTTATGGAAAATAGCTAATCCAAAAATCGTTTTCGACACTAGAGTATAGATCTCAAATGCGTAATTATAAAAAAATTCTTATTTTTTTATATATATATATAAAATTGTAGGATTATGGGAGTCCGATTGTAAATCTGACAAAACAGTAATGATGTGTGAATTTATTATTACATTGCGATAACTTTGGGGACCCACAGTGTTATTTTACACATTTTTATTTATCAAGTATTGTTAGACACATTTTAGGTAGTAATTTTTTTTTTTTGAATTAAATCCAGTCCTACTGGTACTTCAATACTTATCGACTCGATGGTGAAAGACATATTTATTACAAATGAAACTTGTGTGTTACGTAAATACAATGTTATGGGGGGGAAAGGGATTGTTAGTAATGGAGACTGAGAATCCCATTACTAGCAATATACCCAACCAGGTCGACCTCCTCGCGGTTCCCCCTGGAAACTATCATAGTTAATTCCTGGTGGATTCATCATGATGGGCTAACTGGCCTGTTTTCATTCTCATCTATCACCCTTCACTGGTGCTCCGCCAGCGTATCCCGTTAGCGCAGGCGGGGCTACCATACCATTTTCACCCATCAAAAAAAAAAAATACAATGTTATGCGAGCCGAAACAATAATACACATTACACATACAGTTTGACAATGTTTGCCTGACAGTTGTGATAACTGTAAATATAGAAAGCAGCAACTTTGATATATGTACATATATATATACTCATATTGAAAAAATAAGCGATATTTATTTTCACTTATATCTATTCAGATTTAAGCTAAGATTGCGACTATTGCAGATCGCATAGTACGTGTGTTAGAGCAGGACAGTAGATTTCGAGCCAGTCTCAGCTTACATCTAAATAAAATGACTAAATCGTGACACTTATACATTCTCAAATATTGAGGTACCACCGTTACGCACTGTGCTTACGTAAACTAGGTGTATCACCAAGTGATAAAGCTTGTTGGCTTACTTCTATCACTACATATACATGATGGGGTTTTGTGCGCACTATCCTTATCTAATTGTAAGAAAAAGAAAAGGTCTTAATCATATAAATTGAAAATGTTTTCAAAATATGTACATAACATGTAAGTTGTGAAACGTACACAAACATATGTATAGAAATATGACATTTTATTATATAGTTGTATAACTTGGTGACACACGAACTGCAGGGATATTAGATCAGAGCCCATATACAAATGATTCGATTTACAAAATAACACGGACGTAGGTTTGCCGAATTTAAGACTAGATGGCGTTGTGTATATTAAACACTCAAATAATTAAAGCACGGATTACATAATACTACTAGTATTATCTTTATATCGACACAGAAATTCAGGAAAGGATTATTTTATATCTCATACTTTAGAGAATCTGCCGCTGAGGTCCTGGCAAAGAATAGGTCAACCCTTCCCTCTTAAAACATTGCCATAGCCTCACAGGAATCACTGGCAACCCCCCCCCCCCTCGCGCTCAAATTAACAGTTAGCGGCTGATATTATGATGCTAATAATGTTTTTAGAGAATCACTACAATATTCTTAAAAGAAAATTAAGGAACATAAATTCTATTAAATTATATGGAATAACTAAATATGCCATTTATATACGGGCACCTGATCTAACTCCGACATTCCTTAGACAAATGTTTGTACCCAACATGTTTGTATTCGCTTAAAACATACGGTACCCTGAGCAATACACGACTGGCCGCGCCGACGCCATACTACTTTGTCACTCGCATACATTGGACATTTGGCATTTATGTTTGGCCAATATAGGACACATGTTTGACCAACATTATACCAATTTTTTTTTATACAACTTAGAATGGCAAATAAGCTGACGGCCCACCTGATGGAAAGTGGTAACCGTCACACTTAGGTCAGAGACTATATATTTTACCAAAGTAAATAGGCGTTGTAGTGTTTCCGCCAAGAATTTGCAATAGATGACTCTAGTGGGAAAAAAAAACAATTATCAGAATTCAAACTACAAAATAAAGGTAGATGGCGCTAATTTTAAACAAATTCTAGGACAAAATTAAATAAATTAACTATTTTTATATAAAACATATCCAACAATGTATGCAGTGTTGGTCATCATCATGACAAATATCCGGAGATGAAAAAAAAAACCATTCAGCGCCATCTTTCCGTGTTCATATAAAAACTTAAACAGCACATCAAATATGGCTGCATACAAATTACCATCAACGACTGTGATTTTTGTTTAAAGGGAATTGATAATTATTAAAATTTCTGACGCTATCTATAACATAGCACAGTAGCAAAATATATAGTCGATGCTTAAGTCAAATAATTTTATTTAAAAACAGGTGGTCTACTATGAAATGAAATTCTGAATTTTCGCGCTCAATTTCGCGTTTTTATTCGTACCGATATCGACCCACTAAATGGAGCTTAACATTTCGTACATCATAAATCCTATCCTAATAGTTCAGGGGAACGATATTTTAACATTTTTAATAATTTCAAATGGCATATATTATGTAATTTTAACATCAAATTTCTGTTTCGTTCGTGCCCGAAATTTCGGAAAATATTTCATGGTAGGCCCTCAGTATATTGGTCAAACTTACGTATCCTTCTACGACTTATAACTAAAAACTATTTAAAAAGCAGGCAAAAGTCTATGCAAATATTTGATCAAATATACACAACAAGTTATAGAATTGTTTGCGAGTGATTTCAGTACGTAAGTATACTTTAATCTCTATTAAATATATTTTATTAGATAGTGAAAAATAGACTTTGTTATTATTAGTATACAATATAGTTTTCAATTGCTATTCCACACGAGTTGTATTTACGTTTATTTATACAAGGACAAATTTGATTTCCCTAGGCGTTAGTAAATATTTTATGCCAGGAGGAATCAAATATATGTTAACTCTACATCTATGTTGAATTGTAGCGTTCTACTTGACATTGTATATGTTCGAATCATCGTTCCACTTAAAGTTGCCAAAAAACTAGTTTAAATTCTAATGTTTCTTTTTACATCATACTTTATAGTGAATTTAATTTAATATTTCTTACGAGAACTCACTTCAATTTTGACAAAAATAATTATGAAAATATTGTAAAAAAAGAAACCTTTCTTTTTACTATAAAAAAAAATTAATCAACTACATTATTATTGTTGCCAGAAAAGAAAAAAAAATATTAGAAAAGAAAGAAATATTATTTTTGACTCTTAATTTAAATTTCATACTAGATTCAAATAATTATTCATATAACAGTTATTTTAATTCAAAAATGCGTACCTAACAATCGCTAGCGACCAGCAAAAACATTATACGATTCCACAACAGTTTCATACGTTAAAACCACTGTACTGTCTGACCATACGATGTTTATTCGATGATCAAATGTCTCTTTCTAATGAAAACGAACTATTATCACAAAAGCCGGAAGAATTGAGGGGTAAGAATGATACGAGACCGTGGTCGTTCAAATTTAAACCTTACGCTATTGTAAATAGGAGACAAATATCATAAGATACGAGTCATACAAGGCGCCAAATGCTGTACTAATCTCTATACGCGATCGATACTAAATTTTTACTATTTTTTTTTTTAGGAATTGATTTAAAGAAACGCTCCTACTAGTTTACGATTAAATCTAGATGAAAAAGTAACTTGTAAAATACGTATTTCAATGAATAACATTTTCACATTATTTTTCATTTTAAATAAAAATACGCCAAATAATGCGTTACATATATTTCACAAATGATTTTAAAAATAATTCTAAATTGAGAAATCCTGAAAAATCTCATATATAAATTGAATTCTTCCTAATCCAAGATTTGATTCCTCAAATAAAAGTCGTAATCCTTGATAGAATTAATAGGCGTTGGTAATATGGATACCGATTCGATATCTATTCGATATTGGGTCACAATGGACACTGATTTGCGGGAAAAGTCATCGCCCATTTCGATATCGCCCATCCATATCGGTCGAATATCTATTTTCGAATATATTATAAATCTGTTTTATCCAATAACATTGTTAAGACATCAGAGTTTTAACATATTCGTCATTGTACTAATATATACATATTGCTATATATTATTCACGCCTAAGAACTAAGTTAAAAACTCATTCATTAAAAAAAAAAAAAAAAAGAATTTCTTAAACAAATTTTAATTTGACACGAAGTTACAATAAAAAAACAAAGCGGTACTAACAACGTCGTATTTAGAATCGATTGAAACATCGCTTTGTTTTTCAAATCAGATCTTATACGAGAACTATTTCTAATTTCTACAATATATTTACTTACTTAAAAAAATAATAATAAATAAATAAATTGTAAAAATTATAAATACATAACGAGAGTCATAACAATGTTTCATGTAAAGTAATCAACACATCTCGTAATATTACTTCATCTTATAAATTAATTTCACGGTATCAATTCTTGATATACATAAGAGCACAGTTCTCACATTATTTATAAATTTTAGTAAATTAAAATCATAGTATGACAATATAAACCAACTAAATTATTGAGTTCAATGTATCAGAATTGAAAATACAGTGTTACTCTCAATTTATTCCGTACATAAAAAATACGATCAACTATAGACTTTAGGCTACGGTAACCGTTTACTATCAGGCGGGACGTATACTAGTTTGCTACTGTTTGTTTGACAATTTCTAAAATAAATTGTTCACAACATATTTATTATGTTATTAAAACCTTTTTAGAATTAAATAGGTAATATGAATAATTTCAGTAACGCCAAACTCTATTTTTATAATACATCTTTTTACTTCATATATATATATATATATATATATATATATATATATATATATATATATATATATATATATTTCTTCAAGTTCTTCAAAGCATGGCAATAGAGATTCTTAATATTTTGTTTGAGACAATTTTAGATCTGAATTACATTTATAAAGACAGGAATGAACGTTGGTTCATGCCTATCTAAAATTTGATGACGTCACAAACTAATCTCACACACACATCGCCGCATTGTATGTGTGTGAGTGTGTACAATAAACTCAGTTAATTTCTTGTGCGACTCATACAGAATAACAAAATTATAGAGTATAGAAGACACCATTCTATGCTCTTTCATTCCCTGCTATCCTGTGTCCACACACCGATGGATACGTAAGAGACACGCATGAAGTTATCTGAATATTATTAGCTTGAGCTCTGAGTGCTTAGTGCGAGTTTACTTAAATTATATTACTTTACGATCCGGGATTTAGAATCACCCAAACACTACACTTTGACTTGCACAAAGTTAGGATAATGTTACAAACGACCAATCGTGAACTATCACGTTTTAACCTTCGATTATTCTATTATCGATAGTAGAGATAGAGTTTATTTGAAAATTCGCACTAAGAATTCTGCATAGTTACTTACGTAGTCCTCAATTAGTAACAAGTTACAGCCGAGATGTTGAAGCTTAGCTGTAGAGCGGCGGCGACGGAGCCGACGGTGGCGAGGGTGACGAATGTGGCGAGTGTGGTGAGTGTGGCGAGTGTGACGAGAGCGGCGGGTGCGGCGCGTGCGCCAACGGAGGCCATCACCGCGAGGGGCACGAGCTCGCCGCAGACTTGCCGCTGAGGCAAGAGAAGCCACTGGTGCCAGATTGCAGGCTTGACATCGAACCCCTGCGTAACGAGGTACACCCATATTTACATAACTTGGATTACTAAATTGACTGTTTACCTGATGAAAAGTGGTAACCGTCACTTCTAGAGAGGAAAGTATTATTAGTAATGGGAACTATCAACCTTATAGCTAACAATATACCCTTATTAAGTCGATTCCTGCATGGTCACTATCGTATAGTGATGGAAACCATCGTAATTAATTGATTCATCGCATTAAACAAATCCGAATTCATCTTCACCCATTATCCATCACTGACAGCAAGCAGATTTACTATTCCATTTTTATCCCACAAAACAAAATCTATATCAACAGACAAAAACGACATCTGTGTCGCCATTCATCATTCTGGTCATGTCCATGGAGATATCACAGAATACAGTGACATTCCACTTCTATTATTATGATATTACACTTCTATAGCAAATAATGTCACAGCGGTACAAGCCATAATCACTTGATAGTGCTTACACGGCTATAACTCCATTCTTCCATTATATTCATCCAATCATCCATTGTTAATGCTCTGCTACCAATAATTGCAGGAAATGAACAGGCACATACTTGTAATGGTGGCTGGCGAGCGTCTCGTGGAAGTAGACAAGCTGGGCGGCGCGGTGTGTGGTATCCAAGAGCTCACAGCGCCACTGCAGCACGTAGCTGCCGGATTCCATCATCACATGCGAGCCCTGGTGTGACATAACATGACAGCTGATGAAAAGTGGTCAATAATCTTCACTTATAGACATGAACAGCGTGATGGACACAGTATTCACTGCAATATCCATGATACTTATCCTGTGGGTGTCGTAAGAGGCGAGTAAGGGAACTTAATGATGGAGAGATTGGCAGCAGCGTCCCTCGCAAAACATCATCAGAGTGTAACTGTGGTTTTTAACACGCTCGACAGGCGGTCAACTGGCCTGCCAAGCGTGGCAACTATTGGCGAAACTTCCGCTTATGGGGGAGTCTTATGTTCTACAGTAGACAGTTATTTTTCGTGTTTACCATTGGTGAGGGATTCGTGAGTAACTGGCAATGATTTAGTGCAGGGATTCCCAAACTTATTTTGTCTACTGTCCACTTTGAGAATAAATTATTTTTTAGCACCCCCATTTTCTCACCTACTTAAAAACCGCTATTACTTCAAGAGCAACAAATCACCCCCCCCCCCCCAGCCTCTACACAACGCTTTTTTTTTTCTGGGTCTCTTACCGCCCCCTTTAGGCCTGCAGCGACCACAAAGGGGCGTTATCGCCCACGTTGGGAAAGGCTGATTTAGTGTATGCGCGGTGTCACCTGTATGCTCTCGCCGTCGTGGCAGACGAGGGTGGGCTCGACGCGGTGGTAGTGGTGGCCCTCGCGCCAGCCGCGCCGCTCCAGCAGCGACCGCGCGGCCGCCTCCTCGCCGCCGCCCACGCCCACGCACAGACCTGCTGCACCACACATCGGCTCACAGCGCGTCACATACCAATTCCTCACACTTTAAAGACCATCCACACTAACCAGTACCGATCTAATCAGTCCAGTGGGGGGAAAGGGATTGTTAGTAATGGAGACTAAGACAACTAGGTCGACCTCCTCGCAGTTCCCCCTGGAAACTATCATGGTCAATTACTGATGAATTCATCATGATGGGCTAACTGGCCTGTTTTCATTCTCATCTATCACCCTTCACTGGTGTTCCGCCGGCGTATCCCGTTAGCGTAGGCGGGGTTACCATACCATTTTCACCCAGCAAAAAGAAAAACCTATATTCTTTTTACTACACCTATAATAATTATCATTACCTCACCCGTGCCATTTGTCTCCAGGCACTACTAAATCTCTTTTAGAGATAAGTTCGCCTTTGCTAACATTGTTATTAACTTATTGTTGTTACTGTATGTTTTTGTGCAATAAAGAATATATATACTAGAGTTATATATATATATATATATATATATATATATATATATATATATATATATATATATATATATCTGTCACGCCTGTCTCCCATTAGGGTAGGCAGAAACAATGGAACGCTAAATGCTTCGATTCAAACAAACCTCTTTCGCTTCTTCCACATTAGAGTTATGTTTCATCATTAATACCGCCCATTCAAATTCAAAACATCTTTATGCAAATAGACTTCTTAACAATCACTATTAAATCGTATTTTTTTAATCTACTGCAAACTTCGGAAAAGTTGTCATCTGTTGAGAGTTTTCAGGTGTTATTCCTCTGTACCCTGTAAATTCACGTCATATCTCACCCTTCAAACCGAAACGCAGCCATGCAAACACAACAGCTTCACGGTTCAAACACGAATGGGACAGAGGTACCCAAGCAATCGACTTTTGTACAAAGTCTCCCTCTGGTAAACCAGTAACGTATATCCTTCTCCATCCACTATATGCCATGTATATATAACAAGTTCCATAGTAATCGGTAAAACCGATAAGGCACTAAAAGGTAACAAACAAACAAACTCTTTTTCACATTACCACTCGCTCACTCTTTATTCAATTTAAGTTCACACATTTTATCATACAAATTCAAAATGTATATATGTTTGTTTTATTAGTTTATATATAACAAGCGGACCGTCCTGGCGTCGCACGGGTGGACATTTTTACATTTAAAAAAGTGGCCATTAAGGCTGCACACACGCGACGGAAGCTTAAAAATAGAGTAACTCCTCCCGTTTTCCCAACATTTTCCTTCACTGCTCTGCTCCTATTGATCGTAGCGTGATGAAAAGTACATTATAACTTGCCCAGGAGTATGTACCAAGTTTCGTTAAAATCCGTCGAGTAGTTTTTGTTTCTATAACGAACATACAGACAGACAGACAGACAAAAATTTTACTGATTGCATTTTTGTCATCAGTATTGATCACTAATCACCCGCTGATAGTTATTTTGGAAATATATTTCATGTATAGAATTGACCTCTCTACAGATTTAATATAAGTATAGAATACAGATAAAGCGCCACCTACACTTTGTCTTTTTTTTTTACTTTTCTCAATGTCCTCTAACTTAACGTTGTCTGGAAGAGATTGCCTAACAATAAGGTAGCCTTTTGTGTCACTTCACATTAATAGTTACTGTATTTACTATTCTATAAATGGTGCAATAAAGTGCAAAATAAAATAAATGTTTACCAGCGGAGTTGTCGTCGTCGTCGCGTTGGTGGTCGAGCTCGTGGTCGCTGCGGTACACGGTGAAGGCGATGTCGTGCCGCAGCACGTCGAAGTCCCACGTGAGCACGCTCTGCGGGTCGCGGTTCACCACGATCACCTCGTGCAACTGTCAACCACGAGTTACGTCATGAGAAACACTTCCTGCATTATTAAACACATTTTTTTACAATTTAACGGTACACAAAATAAAAAAAAGCGAAGAATTTTTAATTTTTTAAAATATATTTATTACTAGATAGATCAATAGCTTTCGTGTATCATGTGGTCCCGGTATAGAATAGGCCACCCCTTCCTTTTCCGTGAATGTCGTAATTGAGGACTAAGGGAGGACGAGAGATGGGCAGCAGCGTCCCTCCTTAAACATCTCCAAAGTCTAACTGCGGTTGCCAACCGGCCTGCCAAGCGTGGCAACTACTGGCAAAACCCGCCAATAGGGGGAAGCCTTGATATGCTGATGATGATGATGAGCTAGCTTTTAATATCAATAATCGTTTATATTTAAAATAATTTAATACAAAATTTCAGTTTTACTGGTGACATTGACAACAAGTTTATGAGTTAGAATGAGACGTACTACTTTCCTATCTTATTTTACCTCATAGACTCGAAAGCAAAAAGTTATACCCGGCCTTGTTGCTACGATTACTGGATAAAAAAATGTGACCCCAACAAGACAGAGCAAAGAACATGTGTGACAAACATACCTGTCCCTTGCCGAGACTGACGCATCGGTACACGCTGTCCTCGCTCAGCGGGTCACCGTCCCGCTCAGTGAATACACCGGCCACGTACAAGTTCTTCGGGACCAGTCCGCCTTCGTGCACGAAACTCTAGAATATTGTAAATCAAAATTATTATCAAGTAATTGTTAATATGAAACTTTATGCATTTAACCTCTGTTTCCCATAACCCAATGTATAAGTTTTCTCATCAGTTTGAAGTTTGCTGAATATTATAAAAGTTAGCATGTGTATTTTAGAAATTTTGGACACTGGCGTCAAATCTGAAGTGCAACTCTCTATCTGTAAAATTATAATTTTAGTCTTCCAACGAAAACTTAGTTAACAGTGACTATTATAATCTAACTGTACTCGTATAACAGATTTAAGTTAGAACTATATTTAGTTTTTAACGGCACGACGCGAAACGTTTTCACTGAATTATCAAATTTAAATTGGAAATAGTTTAAGATAATGGCTGTTCAGAATCGACGCCACTGTACTTACCAAATATGGTATGTAATATTCATATCTATATGAAATAATTAATTTTAAACTTTTGCGTTGTTTACACATATTTTTAAATACACAATCGGGACTTAACGTCGTGGTGCAAACCACGTCGAAACGTCGACAACAAACAAACGGATATATAGGTACTATTTAAAACTTTTACATCACGTTAAGTCCCGTATGTGTCTTTAAAAAAAAATTTATAATTGTTTATAGTTTTATAAAGACGCTGCCCTGTACTTCTCAGTAAAAGCATGTAGCACTCAAGTAAACATCTACGAGGCATAGACAACGAAGAAGGAGTGGTATTTTTGCTATGTTTACTACTGTAATCTTTTAGAGGTAACAATAAAGAGTATATGTTTACCCCTTGCCTTATTAATATTTATATATGCAACTATATATTTAATGACAAACATAAATACTGAAGGTTAGCGTTTTAGCGTGGTTAGTAACAATATAGCGTCCTTCGGTACGTAATATTTATTGTGATAATACTTGTAAATGACACGAATTTCGAGACATACATAAAATATGAGCAACATTACGTATGTGAATATATTATATTACTGGCCTAGTATCGCGAACCTAGACGGACACGCAAACAGTCCGATAGCTGGCAACTCCCGTGACCTAGAATATATTTAAATATGAATAATTGTTATTAACATAATTATGTAGATAGGGACTAGTCATTCTTTTTTAACCGACTTCAAAAAAGATATATCAATTCCGATGTATTTTTTTTTAAGTTTGCTACTTCATAACTTAATTGTAAACCGATTGGGAAATTATTTTTTTGTTTTATGTGAAAGGATATAGTTACAGATTAGTTTCATAGAAATGTTATCAAAATCGATTCAGTGGTTTGGTTTTTAAATAAAAATAACTGGTTGCCACAATTAAAGTCGATTTTTTTTTCAACACAATCTTAATGATTACAATAATTGAAAATTAAATGAATGTTATCACAGGGTAAATATTAGTAGTAACAGTACTAATCCATACAGTATGATCACACCGCTGCCCCTCTCTGGACCTGCCCTCACCCCCTCAGTGTGTCACAATCCCTACAAATTTTACAAATGTGAAAGCGAGTTTGCTAATTTGTTACCTCTTTTCGCTTTAACGACGTATCCAATCATTGTAAAATTTAATATACACATACCATATATAACAGAGAAGGATATAGGCTACATTTTATCCCGGTCAATAAACATACCTCGGACAAAGTCGCGGGTAAGAGGTAGTCTTTTAAATAATTCTGTCTGCAGTCCGTCTAAGTAGCATTGTGTAACAGTTTATGTGACAATATTGTGCATAATTAACTAAATATTTATAGTGAGCGAGGACAATTGCACCTTGGCTGACAGTAGACGGTCACAATTAGGTATTAAAGTTAGTGACATACATTTTTTAGACCTTTGTATATATGAATAATGTATTTATCTAAATAATACTGCTATCATTAGTGATTTGTGTTTCGAACTTGTTTAAAATCATATTTGTTTTCCTTGAAAACAAACAGAATTAACTATAATAATAGTTCTATTAAAAAAAAAAATATTACAATTTATGCTAATAAACAATTATATAAAATATATACAAATATCTAATATATAAAATTCTCGTGTCATTGTGTTTGTTAGCAAAATCCTCCGAAACGGCTTTACCGATTTTCATGAAATTATATGTGCATATTGGGTAGGTCTGAGAATCGGCCAACATCTATTTTTCATACCCCTCAATGATAAGGGTAAGCCACCCCTAAAAAAAACTATTTTCAAGAAATAATGTATATGGCAAAACAACGTTTGCGGGGTCAGCTAGTATATAAATAAAAATCCATATAAAATAATGAACAATTCTCTTATAACCACATTTAAACCATGAAAAGATGATACAGAAATATAATATCTATCAATAACAACGCGATTAGTACTTTTTTTATACAACTTAGAATGACAAACAAGCTGACGGCCCACCTGATGGAAAGTGGTAACCGTCGCCTGTAGACATGAGCAGTACCATGGAAATAACAGAGTATACTGTTTCGCCCATGATACCCCCATGTGTTGCTATTCCTGAGGACTCAGGTATTATTCTTCTGTACCCTGTAAATTCACTGCCATATCCCACCGTTCAAACCGAAACACAGCCATGCAAACACAACTGTTTCACGGTAGAAACAATTGTTCGAAATCGCAAGTATCCTAAACCTATATTCGGATATTATACGAATTCTACCCACTAAGACTCGAATACTCAAACACCTATGAAATATTCGAGTGAGTACTCGAGTTATCTTCACTCGGCACATCACCCGCCACAATACGATTTAGAAATTCAAAATGTGTCATATAAATTATTTAAGAGTCAACAAACAGATTTCTAACAAGTTCGATAGACCAGTGTTTTTCAAAGTGTGGGTCGCAACCCCTTAATGGGTCCCCCAAACAACGACAAGGAGTCGCGGTGGGCAAAAACCGTAGAAATCAACAGTGTCATAAAATAATCGATATCTGTTTTAGACGCTTCATTATTATTTATTGTAATACATAATGCCTAACTATGAATATAAATAAAAATGTGCAGATTTGATATTTTTAATGTAATAAAATATATACAGATTAGGAGAGTAGGGGAGTGGCAAAATACTAATGGGGTCACGCCGTGATAGAGTTTGAAAAACACTGTGATAGACGTTTACGTATCAATAGCACATTGTGGGACCGACATTATCAAGTACACGTGTACTAAACACAAATATAAATGTCCAGCCGTACGTAATAGTAATATTGTTGCGGCACGAACAACGACGCGTCAACAATGTCCGTCTGCCGTGAGTAACAATGGAAACAAGTTACAACATGATTAATTAATAATTATTTTTATATACACATTTTATTTATTTATTTATTTATTAAATAACTTTATTGACTAAAAGAAAATATGGTACAAAAGAACTTAAAGCTAGACTTGTTTCACGACTTGTTTAATTAATTTAATTATTTAAACTTTAATGCACAGTAGAATTGTATGTACATTTGGTGGACTTAACACCGGACGGTGTTCTCTACCAGTCGACCATTGGGCGAACAGAGAAATAAATAGGCTATGCATTATTGAATAGAGGAAATATACAGCAATACCTGATATATTCGTATAATAATCGTACTTTTCCTTGATGCGAACAATACAAGAGTTTTCATTCATTTCATTCATTCAATTGAACATTTTGCCACAAAAATAGAATACTAACATGTAATTGAAAATCAGCGCTATATAGGTACATCTCGCTATTATATATCTCGCATATTTGTCGCCTGAAAATCAGCGCTATATAGGTACATCTCGCTGGAGCTGTACATATATATCAATAGCTGAGGCGGCTCCTATTACCAGCAACATTAATTATTTTTTTTTTCCTTTTTGTTGTTTTAATTTCTTAGTAATGGTAATAAATGTCATCTATCTATCTATAATTTGGTCATTTATCAATTTTTTTTTGTATATAAATGTTGTAACTGACACTTCAAATACCAATTTATTTTTTTTATAATCAATGCAAAATGTATTTTATTTAATTTTTAAAAGCACTTAATTTCAATACTATATAAAGACTGGATATTTTTAAATAATAATAAAAATAAATCACAAAATTGTAATTTAACATTTATTTTGCATGAAAACTTAACGATAATTTAAACCCTTCCAAAATAGATGAATTTTTAATCTATAATTATATAGGTTCATGAATGACACAGCGTGAATTACCTTGCAAGGTCCACCGAGGAAGTCCGGTATCAGATCCTTGGGTATGTAGTCGAGAAGACCGCCCGGCTGCAGGTAGTCTTTACCGCCGTAAAATAGGAATTTACTTCGTGTATTTTCGTCTGAAACATAAATTGTTCGTAATTATTTTACTTTATACCTATATATACACACGAGGGCAAACGGACAAACGGGCAAACGAGTCAATTCGGTCATAAAACTAAAAAAACAAAACCTTGATTAAAATGAATAAAATCATACTACGCCGAGCCCAAATACCTAGGATAGGGGCAAGAAGACGATAACGGTGATAGGAGGGCCGGGGGAGGGGGGCAAACGAGCATGCAGCACACCTGATGGTAAGTGACTACCGCCACCTGTCCGCAACATCAGAAAAACTTCAGGTGTGCTGCCGGCCTTTTAAGAAAGAATATGCTATTCTCTTGAACGTTTCAATATTTTGAAATTCAAGTCTGCGCGTTCACCGCAAAAAAGACACCGTTTGTCGTATCTCCTTACTTTCGGGGCACTTCCCTCGATAATAAGTCGAGTCTGGGGATTCTTGGCGTCGATATATCTAGCGACGTCCAGTTTTGCGGTCATCTGGAGGAAAAAGCTAAGATAGCTTCCAAAAAGTTGGGGGTGCTCAATAGGGTGAGACGGTATTTCACGCCAGAAAACCGCCTGAAACTATATAAAGCTCAAGTGAGGCCACACATGGAATACTGTTCTCACCTGTGGGCAGGAGCGCCACAGTACTAACTCCTTCCGTTAGACCGCATTCAAAGTCGGGCAGCTCGAATTGTTGACGATCGGCGTCTTACTGTCCGGCTCGACCCACTGGAACTGCGTAGAGATGTTGCATCTCTGTGCATTTTCTACCGAATTTATCATGGGGAGTGCTCTGAAGAATTGTTCGGATTGATACCTGCTGCAGATTTTCACCATCGTACAACCCGCCATAAACTAAAATTTCATCCCAATCATCTGGACAAGTGGCGGTCCTCCACCGTGCGTTTTTCAAGGCACTTTCTCCCACGCACAACCACTCTTTGGAATCAACTTCCAGCAGCAGTATTTCCGAACCGATACGACAACATAACCTTCAAGAAAAGAGCATATTCCTTTTTAAAAGGCCGGCAGCACACCTGCAATGCCGTAGGTGTTGTGGGTGATCATGGGCGGCGGTAGTCACTTACCATCAGGTGAGCCGCATGTTCGTTTGCCCCATATGTTGTAAAAAAAAAAAAAAAAAAAAAAAAAAAAAAAAAAAAAAAAAAAAAAAAAAAAAAATTACATTTCAATACTTCTTCTTAACCAATTGAAATTAAATTAAATTAAATTTATTTGCTAGAAACATTGTAGAAAAGGTGTTTCATTTGTGAAGTTTATAAGATGTCCATTGTGTTTCGCCACATCAAATGGCATGCAAATATTAATTATTGAATTTATCTACAGATAGGCCATTTTATACAGGCACATTATATATTTAATTTTCAATTATTTACTGCATTATATAATAAATCACTACTAGTACCAAGTGCACACTTTGCTCATGCATTATAAGCAGTCAATAAAGCTATTATAAATAATAAAAATAATAGAAATGTCAAATAAAATTAAAACTACAATTTAAATTTCAAACTAAGTCACTAATTAAGTGAATAATCCTTTTAAACATGCTTTAGTCGTGGTATAATCTAGTGATATCCGAGAGAGAGAGAGATAGAGAAAGAGAGAGAGAGAGAGAGAGAGAGAGAGAGATAGAGAGAGAGAGAGAGATCTGTATCCGTATCCATCATTTTTGACGGAACCAAATAAAAAAATTTACGTACCTCGCCGTTACATTAAATTTATTTATAATATAAAATAATTTAATCACAATTTGTTAATATCTCTATTTATTTAATGACATTTAATAATTTAATTCCATATTTAGTGTTTACCAACCACAAGGCATGCTGTGGTTGCCTATAAATGTAGGAACAGTTAGATCCAATCTGCCAGTGTATTGTATTGAAATGCTTCGCTGTATCTTATATTGGTAATCCTATAAATAAATAAATCTTGAGTGGATCTTATACCTTATAAATGTAAATACGTATATGAAATTTAAATTTTTAGGATCGAACGAACGTCAACTCACCGATGAACGTGCTAACAATAGTCCACAGTATCGGGAAGACCCTGGGCGCCCTGACTATGAGCACCCGGCCCATGGTCTCCGGGTAGTTGGCCTCCACGATCTGGATGATGCGCAGCAGCGCGCGCACGCCCGGCCGCCACAGGTGGCGCATGTTGAGCCCGTCCAGGTCCACCAGCAGGCACCACGAGTGCACCGCGTGCTCGGACGAGCGCGTCGCCTCTTCTAGCAGTTTGAGGCCTTCTTCACACACGTGAAGGGTCTGCGAATTATATTGATTTGAGCACACTCGTGTACTTCTTATTTTAATTTCAAGAGTTTAGTGTAGCAGTGAAAATACGGGGTACGGAGGCGTAACACCATGGCAATGTAAGTGGACACGTGAAGTACCATGGATATCACAGTGTATTCCATGATATCCATGGTACTGTTCGTGTTATAAACAAAAATTATATTCACTCATATTTCATCTTAATATATAATTACCAGAGGGAGACTTTGTACAAAAGTCGATTGCTTGGGTACCTCTGTCCCATTCGTGTTTCAACCGTGAAGCAGTTATGTTTGCATGGCTGTGTTTCGGTTTGAAGGGTGGGATATAGCGTGAATTTACTGGGTACAGAGGAATAACACCTGAGTCCTCAGGAATGGCAACGCATGGGTGATATCATGGGCGAAACAGTATACTCTGTTATGTCTATGGTACTACTCATGTCTATTGGCGACGGTTACCACTTTCCATCAGGTGGGCCGTCAGCTTGTTTGCCATTCTAAGTTGTATAAAAAAAAGAAAATTTTAAAAGAATTTTTTATATGAAAACACTACTGTAAATGTGGCAACACTGTCACCGGGTGTCTGCTCTTCTTTCATTAACCACAAAAACTCTTCGCATTGCTATCTATATTTGCAAGATTAAAAATAAATTAAAATTATAAATCAAATGCAATTTGATTCCTACACAAAGATTACTATTTTCTTTCAGGTAGACCGTCAGCTTTTTACCATAGCAACATTACAAAAAAAAATTTGAACTGTGGAAGTAATGGAAACTGTGAATCAAGATCTTCATATTCATAAGGATTATAAACGTTCTAATAATGTCTTTGGTGTTATAAACGTCTATAGACCATTTTAAAACTTTTATTTTATTCATAAAATGGGGACAAATTGTTTAACACTTACCAACTTCAAGAGGCCGTCTTCGCCGACCGATTTGAGCAATCCCTTGACATCCATCTGGCCAAGTCGAAGAATGTATAGCGGACGTCCGTCTGCAATCATTCATAAATATTAATATAGCTAATACTTTCTCACTTGGGGTCTTACTGCCCCATTGCTAGCAATACGCCTTGTCATGTCGACCTCCACGTGGTTCACCATGGAAACCATCGTAGTTAATTCTAGTGCAATTTGTCACGATGGGCTAACTAACCTGCTGTCATCATCCCCTATTATCCCTCACTGGTGTTCCGCCAGCGTATACCGTTACCGCAGACGGAGCGGTCATTTCATTATCACCCATTAAAAAAAACCTTCTCACTTCTTCACAATCAAGATGGCAATGCAACCAAAGTAGTGGCATGGACATGGCAAAGAAGGGCCGTAGCTAGACCCAAGTTTAAGGTAAGGCAAAAGAACTTTTTTGTAGGGCAGAAGCCATAATATATATATATATATATATATATATATATATATATATATATATATATATATATATATATATATATATATATATATATATATATATATATATATATATATATATATATATATATTTTTTTTTTTTAATATTTTCTAATGTGACGTCATGTAATGTGTACCCCGCGCGAAGCCGGGGCGGGTCGCTAGTTAAATATAAAATAGATAATACTACTGGTATTATGAAGAAAATAAAACTAGTTTATTATTTAAAAAACATGTTTGCAAATAGGTACCCTTGTCATGATGATGCCACCCGCCAGGGAAGTATTGCTTCACGACGTCAGGCGTCTCGTACTCCGAGAGGATCCTGTCCACCTGGTGTTTCTTCCGCCAGAGCAGCGATTGCGAGAGCATCTCTCGCGCCTTCTCCACGTTGAAATCGCGGGCGCGCAGAAAGCGTAGCAGGGTGGTGTCACTCGGCACCTGAAATATTTTTTACTCTGGTAATCGGCAACGTGTGTGCCCCGGCATAGAATAAGCCCCTAAATTTCCCGTGGGTGTCGTAAGAGGCGACTAATGGAGGGCGAGGGATGGGCAGCAGCGTCTCTCTTAAAACATCTCTAAAAGCCTAACTGCGGTTACCAACCCGCCTGCCAAGCGTGGCAACTATTGGCAAAACCCCCCCTATGGGGAAGGCTTATGTCCAGCAGTGGACAGTTAACGGCTAAAATAATAAATCGTCATTTACTAGAAAGAAACACAGCGCTATGGGTCTAAATGTCCCATTGCTAGCAATATATCTTATGATGGACTGACTGACCTGCTGTCATTCTCATCTATCATCCTCCACTGGTGCTTCGCCAATATGCACCGATAATGCAGACGGAGTTACCATTCCATTATCATCCATTAAAAATCCATGCCGCCAGAGTATTTAATATTTTATGTATATACTTTATTGCACTTGTAAGCTAAATATAATATAATGCATTTATAAATGTTGTGAGCAAGGGTGGACTTATCTCTGCACAGAGATCTCTTCCAGTCAACCCGATACAGTGAGAAAGCATTTCGTTAGCGGGCAGTTGAAGTGCTACAACTATTAATACATAAACAAATATACACTTAAATATTAAAATATATAATAAAATATTACATAAATACATATACTATAAATAAATATAATACCTACCTACTTATATAATAAATTTAAAATAAATTAATACACTACTTACATTAGAAATTTCGTTTAATGATTTTAAAATTTGACAGTTCAGTTAGAAAAATAAAAAAAATATAACTCAAGAGGAAGAAAATGTTTTCAACCTTTTCTTGAAAGATGTTACAGAAGTACTTATAATTCATTTACATTAAAATTCCCGAAGCAAATAGAGAAATGATATACCAAACTACAACACAATATTAAAATTTCCTTACCTTCCCCTTCTGTAAGTCGGCGATCAGCTTCCTGAGCTGCAGGAGCCTGGACTCCTGCATGGGCGTCAGCTCGCCCAGGTACCGCTTTATATAATCGCTGTCCAGCGTGTACTGGTCTGAAACAATTGAAATATATACTTATATATATATATATATATATATATATATATATATATATATATAATACAGAGGAATAACACCTGAGTCCTCAGGAATGGCAACGCATGGGAGGTATCATGGGCGAAACAGTATACTCTGTTATGTCCATGGTACTGCTCATGTCTATAGGCGATGGTTACCATTTTCTATGAAGTGGGCCGTCAGCTTGTTCATTGCCATTCTAAGTTGCATAAAAAAATAGTACCATGTGAGTATAACTTCCTCAAAACATGAGTTACCTACCTACCTAGTACAGCGTATCCCGTTAGCGCAGGCGGGGTTACCATACCACCTACCTAGTTTAAAATTTTGAGCATTTATTTTTCACACATAGATTGCTATCCAAAAATATCTAGTCATAGTTCATTAAACCTTCCTTAAGACTAATATTAAAAATGTGAAAGTGATTTTTGGTTGAGCGGTTAATGCTTCCAAAGGTGTTATCCTTAGATTGTACAGATAGGACATCGAGTTTAAAAAACGGGTCAACTTTTTGTCAGCTAATTGTCAAATTAGCTAACTCGTTTTTTATCAGTGTTCTATATACTTACACACACAGTGTATCTTGACGTATCTATATTTAACTATTTAATAAAAAAAAACGAGTTTTTACGCAATAAAAAAAAGCAAAAATTATAAAACAAAGTAAATATAAAAGCTATAATGGAAACACTCATAACTAGACTTTAATATTAATTAGAGGTTAACAATAGAGTTTTTATTCATTCATTCATTAAAACTGCAAAAAGACAGAGAAAAGAGCAAAAAACTGTTTACCATGGAACAAAATCTATTTGTAGACATAATATTCCGTATTCTAAATTCAAATATTTCCAACCCAGGTTTCTAGTTAAGTAATTCGGTCACCTTTTTTTATAACCTTTTTTAAAACCAAAAAACTTTTTGTTACAATACAAAAGTAGGGTAGTGTTCTATAAAAGCCACATTAGTTAAAAACTTCGTGACTTTAAAGCGAACTTACTGTCTATTTTACGGAGTACAGAGTACCTATCATGAAGAAAGACATTTTCATCCCAATCACGTAGACGAAGTCGCGGGTAAAGCTAGTTGATAAATAATTTAGCGAGTGAAAGAAACCGGCTAACGACTAACTATATAATCTTATTTCACCACGTCGTTTTACCGCGGATATTTTAACTGAGGTCACGGTCGCACTGAACCGAGTTAAAAGGGTAGTTTCAACATTCGTTAGCGGTTAAACAAGTAGTTTAACTTTGAAGAAAAGACAGACCCATTTAAACACTTTACTACTTTTATAGTTTTTACCCGATATATATATATATATATATCGTATCTGAACTTGCATATATAACCTTGTAAACATGTCTACTTTCACAGAATGGCAATAAATTATTTAAAATGTGGCCAGTAATTATATTTTATTATTTTATTACATATTGTGATTCCTAAGGTCAAGTTTAAATTTTAGTTGGTAAATATAATAAATATGTATTAGTATGTATGTATGAAACTTAGATATAATCTAAGATTATAAAGATGGAGTGTCTTCATATAAATGCTTCTAGAAAAGCGGGTCGAATATATCATACAATTTTGCGTGATTAATAGCTATGAGTGATTCCCTTATAACTTCGATATTTATTTTGTCTTATAAATTCTGCACCTTTTTAATGCGCAAAAATGCATTTTATTTATTAAATAATTAAATATAGATACGTTAACGTACATTGTATACGTAAGTATATAGAACATTAATAAAAAAAACAAGTCTAAGCTACCTGCATTCACTGACTCCCTGCAATACATTTCAGGTCGTCACCCCATCTAGTGGGGGGTCGTCCTACAAGGGCTATCTATTAAACTACCCCTTATAAGGGTTTATTTCCGTGAACATATTTGTTATTATTTTTGAAAAAGGCTTCGCAGGATACCATATATTTTACATAGTTCCCTTGTATCAGAAATGTCCATCGCATAAACAAGCATACTAAAATAAAGTGAATTTCATTTAGAAGTCGCACAAGTTTAATTTCCTGAAATACGACAAGTTCCGCGCTACTCGTATATATTGGTCCACTTTTATATACTACATAGGGATCGAATGTCGGTAAAAACCCCATTATTTATGAAACATCAGAGTTTAAAAAGATTGTATACATTTGTTGCCATATTCAGCATATTCTAAGCAGTGTGGTCCCCACATAAAATGGGCCACTGCTTCCTGTCCTGTGGCTGTCGTAAGAGGTGACTAAAGGGCATGTAATGGTCGAAGGATGGACAGCAGTGTCCCTCTTTTAGTTAGACTTTAGTAATGTTTTACATCACCAAAGCCTAACTGGGATTACCAACCCGTCTGCAAAGTGTAGCAACTACTGGCAAAAGCTCTCTTATATAGGAGGTATATGATCAGCAGTGGATATTTAAATGCTGTGACGATGATGAAGATCTACATGTTATTCATTACGTGTAATAAAAAAAAAAAACTTGTGACCGAAAGCATTATTTTTAATTTGAGAAGTTAATCATAAACTTTATGTAAATCGCCACAGAACCAAAGATAGGAACGCAGTTAATGGCCATTTTACTTCTTAATAATATGAATTCTTTAACATACCTTAATCACAAGTGATCGCGCCAGAGAACCAGAGAAATAGATGTCTATTCCTCTGGTATAATGAAATTCTGAAGAATCACATTATTCTGAAGTGGAAACATTGATCGACCATGGTCTATGGTGTGGAGTGATCTCATAGTATAACAAAAACCGCAAACCGATAAACGCAGTGTAGGAAAACCTACATGTAGATGGAGCAACGATATACGTAGTTATAAAGTTACAGCATGTTAAAACTAAAAACGTATAATAGACGAAGTAAGCACGCTTGAAAATAATTTAAATTGTGTTACAAAAAAAAAACGACCTCAATTGTAGAAAAACCAGTTGTTCTGATTCAAAAACTAAACTACTGGACCGTTTTTAATAAAATTTCTAAGGCACCAATCTATAAGTATATCTTTTCAAATAAAAAAAAACCCAAATCGGTTTACAACTGACGGAGTTACCATATATAGAAGCGAATTTGGATCTTCCTTCTATTTGAAGTTCGTTAAAAAATTAATTACGACTTACAGCTATTATAGATTTACTAAATCGTCAATTTAGATAGCTACAGATATACTGTAGCTATCTAAATTGATACCCTTGGTAGTCCATTCAAAAATAGCAACGTCACCAAGAATTATAAGACAAAAAGACTACATGAAACTGTCAACCGCTGCGCGAGAATTCGAAAGATAAATCTTTGTAAATTGAACATTTTTAATAAATAACCATGGCTGCTTTGTAACTCGCTTTATCCTTTATGAATTAGTAAAATGTTTTTTAAAGAAACTGAACCTTGTAAGTGATAACTCTGCGTAATTAGTGTTAAAAATGATTAATGATGTTACCTATGATTTATAGACCATCAGAGGTCCACAATGCACGGTGTGTACGGTGAGAGATTCACAATTCGAGGTGATGTTACGAAAATTTTCCTATTAAACGATGGAAATAGAATGGTATCCCGGCCTGTGATATTGGTTAACGTTGACGGACTACTAATGTTTTATGATAAATAGCCAGTCAGTGGGGCCATCGTAATAAATTTCACCAGGATGCTGCGAAGATTCACGGCCATAAATTTTAGACTCCGGTTTCGGATGAAGCCTCGCCCGCGCATCAACTTTAATTAATTCAAGCTGACAGTACGCGGTCCTTTTATCGACTAATCCACTTTAGTGGCAAAGTATTTTTAACGGAGAGAATCGGTTTCCAATATTCCGGGGACGGATAGTTGAGACACGACACTACGCTGTGTGAATATGTAAAAAGTAGTCGAAATTATCACTACCATTTTCAGTGTTCTATTTATTTTTTTATTAAAACGACAAAAAATATTGATCCAACTTGATTTTTCACTCATCGAACCAACACTCTTTTTTCGACTTTGAATGGCAAACAAACTGACGGTCCACCTGATAGAAAGTGGTAACCGTCGCCTATAGATATGAGCAGTACCATGGACATAACAGAGTATACTGCGCCCATGATACCCCCCATGTGTTGCTATTTCTGAGGAATCAGGTGTTAATCCTCTGTAACCAGTAAATTCACGCCATACCCCACCTTTCAAACCAAAACACAGCCATGCAAACACAACTGCTTCACGGTTGAAACACGAATGGGACAGACTTCCATCAAAAGACGCTAATCACTCCGATTTTACCGTGCATATTAATGCATATTATATTTACAAATTTGATGGCTGAAATAAAGAATTATCATTAAGGCTCCTTGACAAAGGACGGTTAATGCTGACAGAATAAATTATTACGCAAATTTAACACAGCACATGACTGGAATTTTAAATGGGCTGCAACATCTGTGGGTTACGGCCGATCAAAGATTATGATACGTTCGATTTTCACGTCTGTCGCTTTCCCGGCTCGTATTCGCAATTTATTGCGATCCCAACCTTGATACCTAGTTGGAGCGATTCTAGAACTCTCGCTGAGATTTTTCGCTTATAAAAATATTATCCTCTGTTAGTTATGGAGTCGATTTCTTTTATTGTGCTTCCCTTGCGTATCCGATCAGAGATTTTTATATCATAAACAACGATCCGACCCAGCTTCGCATGGGTAAATATAATTTCCAAAACATTTTTTTTTATATACCACTGACGTGGCAAACAAGCATATGGCCCACCTGATGGTAAGCGGTCACTGTAGCCTATGAACGCCTGCAATACCAAAGGTATTTCGCGCGCGTTGCCAACCCTGAAGAAACATCTTTACTCCCCTTTTGAAGAACCCCATGTTGTAGTCTCTTGGGAAAACCTCGGCAGTGAGCTCATTCCATAACCTGAGTGTTCGTGGGAGAAAACATCTCTGATATATAATAAATAATATATAACTTATGTCACTCGCTGAT